ACCACTCACCCACCACCACTCACCCACCACCACTCACCCACCACCACTCACCCACCACACCACCACCACTCACCCACCACCACTCACCCACCACCACTCACCCACACACCACTCACCCACCACCACTCACCCACCACCACTCACCCACGACCACTCACCCACCATCACTCACCCACCACCACTCACCCACCACCACTCACCCACGACCATTCACCCACCACCACTCACCCACCACCACTCACCCACAGACCACCCACCCACCACCACTCACCCCACCACCACTCACCCACCACCACTCACCCACCACCACTCACCCAAGACCACTCACCCACCACCACTCACCCACCACCACTCACCCACCACCACTCACCCACAGATCACTCACCCACCACTCACTCACCCACACACCACTCACCCACCACCACTCACCCACCACCACTCACCCACCACCACTCACTCACGACCACTCACCCACGACCACTCACCCACCACCACTCAACCCACCACCACTCACCCCACCCACCACTCACCCACCACCACTCACCCACCACACCACCACTCACCCCACCACCACTCACCCACCACCACTCACCCACCACACTCACTCACCCACACACTACTCACCCACCACCACTCACCCACCACCACTCACCACCACCACTCACCCACCACCACTCACCCACCACCACTCACCCACCACCACTCACCCACACACCACTCACCCACCACCACTCACCCACCACCACTCACCCACCACCACTCACCCACCACCACTCACCCACCACTCACCCACCACCACTCACCCACAGACTACTCACCCACGACCACTCACCCCACCACTACTCACCCACACACGACTCACCCACCACCACTCACCCACCACCACTCACCCACGACCACTCACCCACCACCACCTCACCCACCACCACTCACCCACAGACTACTCACCCACGACCACTCACCCACCACTACTCACCCACACACCACTCACCCACCCACCACTCACCCACAGACCGCTCACTCACGACCACTCACCACGACCACTCACCCACCACCACTCACCCACCACCACTCACCCACCACCACTCACTCACCACCACTCACCCACCACTCACTCACCCACACACCACTCACCCACCACCACTCACCCCACACACCACTCACTCACCACAACTCACCCACCACCACTCACCCACCACCACTCACCACCACCACTCACCCACGAACCACTTACCGACCACCACTCACCCACCACCACTCACCCACAGACTACTCACCCCACGACCACTCACCCACAGACGAACTCACCCACGACCACTCACCCACCACCACTCACCCACCACCACTCACCCACCACTACTCACCCACCACCACTCACCCACCACCACTCACCCACAGACGAACTCACCCACGACCACTCACCCACCACCACTCACCCACGACCACTCACCCACCACCACTCAACCCACCACCACTCACCCACCACCACTCACCCACCACCACTCACCCACAGGACTACTCACCCACGACCACTCACCCACCACTACTCACCCACACACCACTCACCCACCACCCCACCACTCACCCACCACCACTCACCCACAGAACGAACTCACCCACAGACCACTCAACCACCACCACTCCCCACCAACACTCACCCACCACCACTCACCCACCACCACTCACCCACACACCACTCACCCACCACTCACTCACACCACACACCACTCACCCACCACCACTCACCCACCACCACTCACCCACCACCACTCACCCACCACCACTCACCCACCACCACTCACCCACCACCACTCACCCACACACCACTCACCCACCACCACTCACCCACCGCCACTCACCCACGACCACTCACCCACCACCACTCACCCACCACCACTCACCCACCACCACTCACCCACAGACCACTTACCGACCACCACTCACCCACCACCACTCACCCACAGACTACTCACCCACGACCCACTCACCCACAGGACGAACTCACCCACGACCACTCACCCACCACCACTCACCCACCAACCACTCACCCACCACTACTCACCCACCACCACTCACCCACCACCACTCACCCACAGACGACTCACACCACGACCACTCACCCACCACCACTCACCCACGACCACTCACCCACCACCACTCACCCACCACCACTCACCCACCACCACTCACCCACCACCACTCACCCACCACCACTCACCCACAGACTACTCACCCACGACCACTCACCCACCACTACTCACCCACACACCACTCACCCACACACCACTCACCCACCACCACTCACCCACAGACGAACTCACCCACAGACCACTCAACCACCACCACTCACCCACCACCACTCACCCACCACCACTCACCCACCACCACTCACCACACACCACTCACCCACCACTCACTCACCCACACACTCACCCACCACCACTCACCCACACACTCACCCACCACCACTCACCCACCACCACTCACCCACCACCACTCA